CTACCTAACATTAATATAGTATCTCAGGCACAAACACAAACATATTTATGTGTGTTATAATTAAGTGCGAAACTACACTATTGTTACCGGGTTGCCATATATTTTCCAGCATTGCAAAGTAACTTAAGAACTATTTTAAATTGGACTGCTTCTGAAACAGAGGCCAATTGATAATATTTTGGAAAAGAACTGACTATAGTTACCATAGCATAATACAATAAGGAGAAATATTAATGATGATAATCAATGTAGGGCAGTTTTGCCTTTTAATTTTATTTGTTATGAATAATTGGGCATATCTAATCATGCATATACATTTTATTGAAGCAAACGTAGCTCACTGACAAGTACATTGTTTGACACAAAGGCTTTTGATTTATATTTTTAGTTGTTTTGTGATGGATAGCAGTGGATACCTTGTGATACATAACGATTTCATTGAAGCAAATGGCGATATCAACATTGAAAACTTGCATATCACAGAGATTGAACCAGACATCGCACGGGATTTGATATCTAAAGGGGTCCTTATAAAATCACAGTGCGTCAACTTTCAAACAATCAAGCAACAAAACTATTACATAGTGAGTTGATTTCATACATAAATGTAAAACTAACTAAAACAAAACTATCACATGGTGAGTACTATAGACTTTTGTACCAGAGTTTAACATCTATGCAATTATGTTCGGGCATAGGCGGAAAGACGGAGTGACATTGACAATTTGGCAGATAGTGATTCTTGTAAGCGTTACCAACTATCGTACATATCGGGGACAAATGTATATCTTGGTATCATCAACAAAGATGACTGTCCAGAGACAAGGGAAACAAAGTGCATATGTGAAGTAAGTATTTATATGGTGATATGAAAGTTATATCATTTGAACGTGTTCAAAACATGTGGATACCATCCTTGTTTATTTCCAACATATCGAGAAACAAAGGTTACCTAGCAACGTATTGTACAGGTAATTTATATATGTATACTGCTATTAGAACCAACGAAAATTATTCAAAGATTATAGAATGATACGGAATCAACAAATAATATCCTGATTGACTTTCAGAGCCAGTGCCGGGATACAGAAAATACTGAATGTGAATGTCCCTGCCTGTCAGATGCTGTTTACGACTATTGTAATGACGAATTCCACTATACAAGGTATAGAGGGCAGGGTTGTCTGGTACTTAATAGCATGTATTACGCGAATCGGAGACTACTCAATACTGTTATTCGCCGTCGTGTCTCATTTATTATGTGATGATTTCGAATCCAAGATGCCTATTAGAAGTTATTGTGTACACGCTTGCATGACAGGCATTTCTACATTTTGCATGTGCAAGAAAGATATTCAGTCCTGCTTTCTGGTTATCCTAACTCTGTTATTGTTTGTGTTCTAGTGATAGCCATCCAGCTTGTACACCTAAAATTCGAGATTTGAATATTATTACACAAGCTGAATCGGATGTTTCTCACCTATCACAGTGTTTCGAAACACATTGTTCTGAGAAGCAAAATGCAGTGTAAGTATTCTATAAAAGGATTGGAATTTTTTTTATAAAAAAAACAAATGAAAACTATTATTATATTATACTAAATGTGCTGAAGCAATTATCACAGCTCTGATGCTTTGTGACACCGACAACAGGAAATAAATAAATACATTTTAAATAAATTGGACAGAGTATAATAAATACATATATTTTACTACAGAGTATAGTATAATCTATCTTTCAGAGAATGCAATGCTGCAGTTAACTGTGTGTGGTGCATGGATGGTAGTCCACGCTGCGAGGATAGTGTATACCATTGCAAACCACGTAAGTTATTTTGCATGATTTAAGTAATCGTTCTATTAGGATTTGTACGAAATAGTAAAAATGTCAATGTATCCCTGGATAAAGCTGTACTATAACAGACAATATTCTGTTTTACATTACTGATTACTGCACATACATTAAATGCACTTCAGTGTGATACAAAGATTGACCACGGCCAATGTTGACATACATATTTGCCGATCCGAAAACAGCATTGTTGGCTGGGGTGAAGCCCGGGTCAACAACTCGCTCTTCGGTAGCCCAATAAGGCCACTAAGATCGAAATAAAACGTGTGTTGTAAATAAGAAGTCATATAATTATTTTGAGGAAATAAATAGAAACAAAATGTTAAATGCCGTGCGCATTTGTAGTGCGGCGCCCAGGGACCAGTAGGAGCATTGAGTCGTGTTGTTCAATGCATAGATCAAGGTTTCAAGTAATTATATTTCCATTGAAAACTGGCATACAAATGTTAATAATAAACCCAAACTACGTACTTTTATTAAATTTAAATCTGAATTTTGAGAAAAAATTACTTATCAATAATATATGTCTAGGGATGAACATTCGTTTTTAGCACAGCTCCGTTTCGGTATACTTCCTTTGCGTATCGAAACGGGACGATATAGACATGAAACCGTTTGTAAATTATGTTTTTTAAATGTAACAGAAGATGGAATACACATAATTACTTGAGCATCTATTTAATGTACTTAGTATTTCCAGAAACCAATTTAATTTGTTAACTGATACAGAAAAAATAAGTTACTTTATGGTGAACCATGTTAGAGGGATAGTAAAATATATTACAAGATCATTTCAGAAGAGACGAGATATCCTGTTTGTGTAGTACATTAGTTGATATTATATTTTACAAGAAATAATACATACACTATCTTTATTTGACATACACCCTCTATATGTGAGTATATACATTCAAGCTATGTATTTATTTTCTTATTGTCACACGTCACTTTAATAAGCAATACTACTATATAAAATATACGCCTTTCAAAGCAATGAACGATACCTTGTTTAGCAGAACCTGTTTACATATTAAATGGAACCTATTGAATATAAACACAGAGTGAAAGCAACCATTTATAATATTTATATATTTAGATCACTATGCGTCTACGCAATGCCTGAACAAGTATTCGTGAGTATATTGACGGCAAATTTTGATGGCTGACAGGGCTAATACTATTACTGAGGTTAAAAATATATATGTATATTATCATTATTATTCAAATAACTGGATACTGGAAAATATCACTTAACCAAGATGTGAAATATAAATGACTGAAAATGGATTGTAAACATTTAACATAAACATAAATTGGTAGTTAAACATGAAGCTCTTTTTTTAATTTGAAATTTTGACATTATGGACAAGTATTTTTCAATGTTTATATGCATGTGTTTTTTAAACATCATACGTGATTTACATTAAATTTGAAGTTCTGATTGAAGCAAACATAAAAGCAAATTGGACAGATTTATCAGGGTTAGGGAGTTTACTGACCATAACGCAAGGATAACAAGCTGGGGGAATATACAGGTATTACACTCTCATGAATAATATGTGAATCATCACGTAATAGTTAATTACTTATTAATAATATTGCAGTTTTTGAACGTACATATCATTGTATTTTGCAGCTCATGTGAGCTCAGGACTATCTACTGGGATAAAAACAGGAATCGCCATCAGTGTGCTCGCAGCAATTGGGATTATTATTGTTGTAATAGTATTCATAGTCGTGAGACATCACAGGGAAGCTAATGTCTTGGATTATATAGACAAATACACGGATAACGAGTATGACGTCCCATCGGCGCCCCCGAAGCCTTCTGACGCCACCCCAGCAGAAGAGGATACTTTAAATTACGAGTTAGCCGAGGACTATATTCTACCCGATACTCATGATTCAGACTATGTCTATCATAACCATGAACACGATTCAGATTAAAATATAACACTTACCACGATGTTAAAGTGGGGAGTCGTCACCTGCGCATGCGTCAGATGGTCATAGCGTGTCATTGTTTACAAACAAGCTTCTACCCATGAGCCTTTGCGATTTTAGCGTGTGTTGTTATCGTCGTTTGGGACTCAATTCCCACGCGTGCGCAGGTGACGACACTCCCGCTTTAAACATCATGCTTAACAATATGGACAAAATGCAAAACCAATACTGTGCCTATAACGCAAACGATGTATTGTGTAATACCTTTAAATAAACATTCATTCGCAAAATCAAAGTAAAAAATATCTAAAAAACAAATATATATTCAGATACGTTTTTAATTAATTTATCACATGTATTAAAATACTCACTGATACAATAATATATGCTATTTTTGTTTTAAAAGTTTATCTGTAGCAGTTTTTCACTAAATCACACGTCAGTCTCTGTACAATGTAAATATAATAATGTATACGTATTTTAAAAGCTTCTGAAAACAGTCATTCTTAAATTATTGGGCATTTAAGCTATTTAAATTCACATGATATATTACAAGTGTAATTAAACAATGATTAATTAGTAATACAAATCCCAGATGTAATAAATGGTGTGACCAGCAATAATTATATAGTCAAATGTAAATGTACATAAATGTAACCATCTGTCATTGCTAATTAAATTTCACTTGACGGCACCACATAGCTGTACGCTACACTGCGTTCCTAATCACATTAGAAAACTGAAACACATTGAGTTGCACTCTGCTTATTGCAACACCATTCTCTTTCAACAATTATGCTATACATAAGGGACTGGACAGAAATTACGCGGGAGGGTACATATTTTTCATGTAAGCGTTTGGGGGAGGGTAACTTTATTTTGTGCACACATAAAACCAGGGTCACTGTTTTCTGTGCATTAAATATAATGATTATAATATCCAAAAAATACAATAGAAACATTGTGTAAATTTACCAATTATAATGAAACAAACATTCATGTAAGTATTGTTGCTATATAACAGTCATGAACTCAACAAACATATTACTTAAATAAGCGGTGTTGACTAATACCCATGCAAACAGTAAGTGGTACAGCAAAATTAAAAGAAAAGCAATGTAAATTACACCTCAGCAACCACTGCTTAAAAATAGAGACAGGCAGACATGCAAAGCCAAGAACGACAGTCAGTGATGGGATTCATAACGAAACATGCAAAGTTGTTGAGCTTGCTAATTTCCTCAAAATATTAGTCTAAATGCAAGACAAATATTTTGCTGTTTTTTTGTATTGAATAGTGAAATTTTGTTATTATTATTTTTTTTATTTTTTCTCACTTTATTTTATAAGCATGCGTTCTAGCCATAAAATAGATGTTTTATATTAGACATAAACTTTTAGTTCTTACATGAACTTTTTTTAGAACAATTTGTTTTGCGTTTTAGTCATATATTTCATTTTTAGTTCTTTGTTGGCATTTTAGTGATTATGTGTATTCTTGTGACCATTTTCTTTCTATTTGGGATTGAGTTAGAGTCAATAAAGTTATTGTTAATCAGAATCCTCCTCTTCCTCTCGGTTACTGTTTCCAGTATCGCCCTCTGTGCCATTATTAACTGACTGTTTTTCCATATCAAGTTAGCCATTTGTCACAGTTCTTCCATGAAGAAACTGGTGAGCAGCCACTAGGTTGCTACAAATCACAGTTACTCAATGGAAGGATATCCTAA